AAAAAAAAACAAGAAGCTGTCTTATTATTGGAAATGTTTTCTAGCTTAACGGATGGATAATGACCGATCGCGGCATAACAGTGTGAAATAAACTGAGAAATGCAGATCTGGAGGATGATGGCTCTAGACATGGTCGGTCTGCCTCCGATACTCAGATTTTTGCTGGAACTGTACTCTTTCTCTGATATGGAGGCAAGTAATTAAGCAAGAGTTAAATAAGTCACTAGTATCCAAAATGCGCTGAAATACGTATGGCTCAGATTTACTTACCTATTTGGTCGCTGGCTGATGCCATCTCCTCGAATGGTAACGAAATGTGTGATTAGATTGCTAAGCCAATAACCGAACGCCAACGATGCGGAAGCTGCATATATATCTACATAAAGCTTCTTCCACACACAGCTATTGAGGATAACGACCGATATGAAAGAACGTGTATTCTACTTAAGTCGTCTAGAACAAGTAACCCAATATCAGTCTGGTCACTTTCTCCACACTCTTTAAGATTGAATTTATAAATATGACGAAACATTCAGGGAGAAACAGACGAAAGGCACGTACTGCTTTTAGCACTTGCTTTTGTTAGTCAGCTGTGGTTTTTGAGATGGATTGTTCTCAAATTCTGCAGAACGGTTGAGTTCCTCTTTGGTTCGTATTCAAACTGCAACTGCAACAAAGGTTTTCCAGGATGAATTTGTAGCATACTTAAACCCGGCTGTGTGTTCGCCTTTTATTGCATGTAGTCACACAGTCTACCAAACGAAACAAAGAGTATATTATGTCACCAATACGTTTCGGCACGCTTCGGTTCACTTTGGTGATGACCGTTCTATGCGAACTGACAATTACCCTCATATTTCCGTCCGTGAGTGGTCTACTGGAGGGCAATCAAGGTGAAACTGAAGCGCCTTGTTTCTTTTAACCATCATTTACCAACTGCGTGCACTGGTGAGGTGATTGGGGATCACTGACAGGGGGAACACTGTCAACATTCATTTAAAGCTGCTTAATGTAAGCATCTTATTCTAGCTTACCTGGCCATGTGAATGTCTCTTGAGATGCTCCCAATGGTAATGAATGCAATCATACACCAGTCTATATCTTCGTTATGATACATTTTGTTAGAAGTGCGCCACTCCAAACACCCTGCAATCACATCTGCACCAAATCCGGTTGTGTAAGTTTGGAGAAAAAACAAGTGGCACGATATGCCAGGCTATTTGCTTTTTGTCGCTGCCAGTTCATATATATTTTGTATAGTCTGCAATGTATTGCACTGAGTGCAATTTATTCTATCGTGGTTTATTGTAATCACTTGCTTGGATCCACTTTCTGGGCTTTATATGCAGATGAACATCCTGACATCCTGAGTTACAGGCTATATCTTTTGTTTTCAATGTTTTCTGCCATTTAGTTTGTGTGCACTGCACTACATTTCATCGCACTGTATCACAGTGCAGTAGCTCGCCGGATTCGGTATGATCGAATTTATATCTGTTTGCACTGAAGCATGTACCGATAGTCCCTCTAGGCAATCTAGACAAGCCGGGTGCCAAATCTACAGTGAGGCTGAAGGTGATTGATTCTCTGTGCAGACCAATCAGTATGACTAGCCAGGCATACATGTGTGCTTTAGTGCGCCCCACAAGCAATGCGGGCAACCAGACTAGGTTTTGCACTCACCAGGTATCTGAACATATCAGTTGTTCACAGTTAGCAGTTATGGACCACCACATGGCCATCATAATGGTTCTAGAACTGTTCCCTACTTTTCACCTTCCGGTTTCACTACCTGAGGGTTTGAGACGTCCACATAAGTGCACATGCGGCTCAGCGCACACAA